ATGAAAAAATGTTCACCATCACTGGTAATTCGAGAGATGCAAATGAAAACAACACTGAGATTCCACCTCACTCCACAAAGAATGGCTGCTATCATGAAATTAACCAAAAACAAATGCTGGCAGAGCTTTGGGGAAAGAGGGACACTGCTCCACTGCTGGTGGGCATGTAGACTGGTGCAACCACTGTGGAAATCAGTATGGGGATACCTCAAAGAACTAGGACTGGAAATCCCATTTGACCCAGCTATTTCCCTGCTGGGTATCTTCCCCAAAGAATTAAAAGAATCATACTAAAGTGGTATATGTGTACCCACGTTCATAGCAGCACAGTTGTAATAGCTAAAACTTGGAAACTGCCCATATGCCCACCAACTGGAGACTGGATAAAAAAAAATGTGTTTTTAAAAATAAAATGGAGTACTACTCAGTCTTTAAAAATGAGAAATTAGAGATATTTATAGCTAAATGGATGTACATTGGGGCAATACTCTTAAGTGAAATAAATAGGACACACATGTATAAATACCAAATAGTTTCTCTAGTGTGAGAATCTGAAAGTGTAAATAAGGACTAAACGTTATAATAGATAATGTGAAATAGGAAGAAAATGGGAGAAAGGGGAAGGGGAACTGGTAGGGGTAGGGGAAAGGAAAGAAGGGAATGGAATTAATATGAGAAAAATGGAAAAATGGAAACAAAGTCTTTGTAAATAGGGAGGGATGGAGGGGTTGATGGGAGGGCAAGGGAAGGGGGAAAAATAAGAACCAAGTGAGATTATGCAAAGTTGCAAATTTCCAATGATGAATGTCATTATATTGCATACCTAAACTGCACCAATGATTAGAATGAATAATTGATAATGTGAAATAGGATGAAAAGGTCCAAAGGGGGACAGGAAGTGGGAGGGGGATGGGAAAGGAAAGAAGGGAAAGGAAAAATTATAAGAAATGTATAAAATGGAAACAAAGTCTTTGCAAATAGGGAAGGGTGGAGGGGGTGAAGAGAGGGCTGGGAATGGGGAAAAAATAAGAACTAAGATGCATCACATAAAGGTACAAGTTCCCAATGAGAAATGTAAATGTATTGTCTTCCTAAAATGTACCAGTAAAATGTACCAATGAATAAAAAAATAAAAAATAAATAAAATGCAGGTAGTTCATATGCAAACTAAGGTTTTAAAAGCTTTATCTTAAAGCACCCCTTTCTTCCTGAGATCCAGACATAAATTAAGTTGGGGCAAGGGACTGTGTGGAGCCAGAAATAAAAGTGACAAATCACAGGCCATTTTTATGCTCATCCCTTCCCTGTGATGACCTCATCTTTATGACAGTTTCTACCTGCATTCAAGGAGAGGGCATTAAAGAACATGTCTCATTGAGGGCACTTCAGGGTTGCTTGCCACAATGAAATAAAGACATGCTTAACAGTTTTAAACCTCCTGCATCCTTTTTACTCTCAAATTGTTCAAGTTACTGTCATTTACCAAATGGCTTTCATGGACAAAGCAGCAGATAATATGTTTTGAGAGATAAAAAGATGATTCAGATTTAAGGGACTTGCCACATAAAGGTTTTAAAGAAATAACAGAAATGTGTGCACAAACTCATAGGGAAAAGAATAATGAATTCTGGACTAAAGATATATGTAAAGAAAGAAATGTCTTGGTAAGAGTTAGTTGTGGAAAAAAAGTTACTGTTTCTTCCTTCTTAGTAAGCTGATCAAGTGTAGTAACCCTGTAAAGACAGAAAGTAAAGATTAAATAGAGAGAGAGGGAGAGAGAGAGAGAGAGAGAGGCAGAGAGAGAAACAGATAGAGAGAAATTGAGATTGTATGATTTTAAAAAATGCTTTTGTATTACCTGTAAATTTCAAGGGAGAAATTGCATGGACATGAGATAACAATAATGATCATATCTTATATTTCAAAGCCCAATACATCTAGTTACCAAAAGGTAATAGTATTCTGAATCAAATTATACTTTAAAAGTATATTTAATGGAAGGAAAGTGTTTACCATAGGCACTCACTTTCCAAATTTTATTATATTTAGTTTTGGAATATTTTATGATTGTGCATTATATTTGTAATTAGAAGAAAGTATATATCATAAATTTATATGTAGTGCTTCTATGAAGCACCATACTAAATCTCTAGAAAGGTATCTATTAAGTTTCTTTTGCAAAAAGAATATATATAAATTTTAAAAATTGGGAAAATATAAAAATTAAAAGTAATCACTTGTAAAGCTATCATACTGTAATGCCAATTTAGAGGAAAGACCTGCATGCCAGTGGGTAACTACAAGCAGCCTAAAGCTTTGTAATGCTGCCTTCACTAACATAGCTCTGCTTTCATTTGATATATCTCCCTTACTTGCCTAAAACTTTGGGTTAGACACCTACTAGCTATTTAATTCTTTAGAATATAGCTATTTAAGTCTTTAGAGAGTATCAGTGTTGCAAGATCTATAGCCCTCAATTTACCTAACCTATCTCATCTCGCTTTAAGACCGAGGACACCAAAGATGGGGACCTAAAGTAACTTTCATGATTGTCAGGGACATCTACTTGCCAGCTCTTACAACATCCAGTTTCAGATCCCTGGAGTGGTGCCTAGAAGTTTCCAGTCATCTTCTTAAACCTAAAGCCACCTCATTTTTCAGGAAAAAAGAGCCTCACAGTACACCCCATATGAGGTCACCCTCCCTCCAAGGGAGGGCAATTACCGCCTGGTGAGAACTGAGACTTCCTCCTAACAATTGGAGTCTTTATCTCTTGGTGGGATCTGGGTTGCCCCCTTGGGAAATGGGGACTCTTCCTGGAACTCACACAACTAGTCCTGAGATACCTATCATGAAGGCTTTAGATAACCTACAGGACTAGATATGCAAACCTGCCAAATATGCAAACACATACCCCTTGCCTTTGCCCCCCTTTCCTATAAAACTCCAAAGATTCAGTCAGCACTCTGAACACAAATTGCAAACCCTTTATCTGTGCTGCCCAGAATGGCTAGTCTGGTTTAAAACTCCTTTGCTGCCCTTCGTCTCTGCTCACCTCCTGATTGGCATTATGGGATGAGTGGTCAAGCTTGGTATGTTGAGACCCCCAGAAACTCTGCCCTAAAACTCTGGGAATAGCATTAGCACACCTTCCAATGATGATAATCTGTTTCTTTACTTTCTCTTTCTTTTTTTTTTACTCATTGGCGAGGTTGTTTTTAAATGATTAGCAATATTCCTTAATATTTCACCTCAATATCACAAATATTTTATTTATATGTATTCAGGTATGTATTGTTGCTGAGATGCAGTGGTGAAATCATGGAATGTTTGCATAAAATCAACTTATAGATTCTCCAGAAATATCAAAACTGTCAGAATATCTCCCATACATAAAATCAATACCTTACAGGTTTACAATCTTATAGATAGGGCCCAGATTTTATTAACACATGGCCCTCTTTATTATGGAAAACTCTAATGTGAAAAGACCAGTATAATTTGGGGAGGGGAAATTTGGCTAATGTTTCATATTTACTATGAGAAAAATGAGTTATGTGTCTCATCTGTTATCATATTCTTTCCTTTTTGCCTGCTCCTCATCTCAAAGGCTAGATATTGCAAAGGGCCTCATCATAGTGGCCTCCCTTAGGATGCTGCCACGAAGGTCCTAAGAATTTGAATACTAATTCACTGCAAGTGTCTTATAAGAATGTCCCCTTTTGTCTTATTACAGCTGGCCTGGCACTGCCATTGGTGTCTTACAGAATTTTTACTGAAATAGCTTTTTAAGGATGTACTTAAAAATCTTGATACTCAAAGCATAGTCCTTGGATAGGCAGCATTTGGCAGTACTTTTTAAAATGCCCCATGCAAGGCCACTACAAAGAAACTGTGTTTTAACTAACACTCTGGTGGTTCATATCCAAACTAACATTTCAGGACCAATGTCTTGATGCACAACTCTCTTCCTGGGTTTAAGACATAAATTCACTTGAGGCCAAGGGACTGTGTGGAGCCAGAAATAAAAGTGACAAATAACAGGACATTTTTATACTTATACCTTCCCTTTTTATTTCTGTGATTGTTGCAAACTTTAAATCTCTGACTCCTTTGCTTAGGATGAGCTCTCCTTTACCAGGTGGCTTCACTCCTCACTACCTCTTAGAGAGACTTTTGGAGACCTGTTGTTTCTACTTCAGTCCAACCAGACATGGGTTGGTCCAAACTAGAGATCCACCAGATTTATGGAAAATCTTATGCAGTATTTAGAAGTAAAATATGTTTTTATTTCCTCAACATTAATTTAGCACATATTATCTACATATACCCGATTTTGAGCTTTAGGAATACCAAAGTAGATAAAATAATTTCTGCTCCCAAAAGAGGCAAGGAACATCTAGGCATCTCTGGGACATTTTAGGAAGGAGCCAAAATGTTGCCAGCTGGAGCAGTCTGACCGTTAATTTAGAGAAACCACTACCTTCTCTTGTATTTGCAGCCTGTATCTCCAGGTGGAATGCTTCTTCCATTTCCACTTTCCTACATTCTCGTCAGCCTTCCAGGGCCTATTTTTTTTTAAATGCCAATTTATCAATGAAATCTTCCATAATTCCCTTAGATAAAGTGATTTTGATCCTTCCCAACTCCATTGAAGCCTACCTTAATATCAATTATGTGCTTTGAGGTATTATGGAGGGGTTGTAGTTCCCTTATAAAGAGAGATTGTTATTTAGTCAGTCCTTTTAGATTCAAATTAGGTTCTAGCATGGTTTTCATGATAGTTCTTAAGAAGGGGAAAAATTAAAGATGGTGCATCCATTCAGTTAATACTTTTCTACATTCCAGAAGTATATTAAAAGTTTTTTCAAATCATGGTCAGAAAAATAAGAAGAACACAGTACATTGAGTATAGTAATTAGAAAGATTAAGCACCCTTCCTTTTAAAAACATCTTTTTTGAGGTGAGAATATTTCTTTCATTCAAAAATAAAGTTCTTATTGGTAGATTAGTAGCTGTTAATCTCAGCTGGATTGAATTTCATCTGGCTGTAAAACATGGGCTGCCTATATGCTTGTTAGTATTTAAGAAGTCCTCTAGGTCAATGGGTTTCACATTTTATGGCTGGCTTGTCCTAAGCTGAAATGGAATATCAGAAGCACAACCCATTTCCTGCAGAATGTGCAAGTGGTATTAACTATGTAGCAGGTTACCAGATGTATATTGCTGATGTATATATAACTCTGGTAAGTATGGGCTGTTGATCAACCTTGAAAAAGCTTTTAGCTCTGATCTACATAACAGTCCATGTGCTATTTTCTTAGTATTGGTTATGACCATATTTGTGGTTTGTTTAAAGTTGTAAGAGCAAGTCAGTGACTAAATATTGATAATCTGTGGCACAATGATTTGGAATTGTTCTTTCATCTCTGAGCTATGATATGGAGAATCATACTTCTAGTGGTTCCAAAAGTTCTATGCATATCAGTGGTGGCAGACAGAACAAACAAATGTACAACTATATGCTATTTCATAATTAATGTAAATATGCTAGTATTAAAGAAATTAATTGACTTTAAAATATCAATTATTTTATGCTAGACTTCTCTCATGGATTTACACAATAAATGGACAAAAGTGCTATCAAATTGATTATCAAATGTGACCCTTAAGGCCATCATTTGCAAAGATTAGACAATAGCTTCCTGAATCTGGGAGGCTGATCTTTGAGGTAGGTGAGATATTCTATGTTCAGGAAGGCAGCTAGAGCCTCCTGAAGGTTAAAGGACAAACAGGACCCAAGAATGAACCACGAGGGTCACTTTCTGGACAGCCACTGAGTTAGCAAATAAGTCTGTACAGGAATCCTAGGTAAAAAATTATCTTCTCTTAATCCCATTTTTCTCTCATTCTATCTTCTATCTAAGGCCTGCTACTTCACTAAACCAACAGGAAAGCCTCCTTTTGCTATGTTCTTTGAGGATATGTCTGATATAAAGTGGGATCAATCAAAGGAGTTCCTAAGATTTCTTAGAAGACGGGAGGGTATGGTCAGGTTTCCTTTTATTCGGGTGAGTATAATTTTGCTATGATCTCTATGAGCCCATTGACAGGTCTACAAAATAATTAGCTCCTGCCTAACTTCTTAGGATATGCATCATCTTACATGGCTCCTTAGAACTGAGCACTAGAGGAAGCAAATATCAACATCTATTTTGATACATTTAGACACTGCATGTGTATTTGGCTGTAATCATGACCTAAACAAAGTATGCCCACTGAATCAGCAGAACTAACATGTAGGGATGATGAGAAATGCAAATTTATTGATTCTACTCCAGTCCTATTGAATCAGATTGTCTGTGGGTGGAACACAAGGATCTGTCATAACAAGATGCAGTGTTCATATAGTTTGAGAAGGAATTCAATTATTACTTCTCAGAGCCATTACCATCCTATTTCCAATCACTAATCAGTTTCAGGTTTATGTATTTAATTATGGCTATCCTTCAATGTGAAAACATCTTTTTTCCTGCAGTAGATATTTCAAAAAACAATCAGAGCCTAAGGGATTTTGTATCACTGCTTATAACTTCAGCTTTATAAATATAAATAAATCCCTGCAAAGTGCTGAATTGATCCACCACCCTAACAGAAAGATTGAATACACACCTGTGCTATATATACATTGATATCCTTGCTTTGGAGCATGTTACAATTATCTGGATATTTTTCTAAAATTCTGATGCCCACACCACACCATATATTAGTCATTTCAGAGAGTCTGAGGTGGACTCAGAATTCAGTGTTTAAGATTCTTAAAGATGTCATTTTTCTCCAAAGCTTGGACTTTGCCAACCTGAATTTCTTCTGACTGTGGAAGCACAGTGTAACATTAATGTGCCCAGGAAAGGAAATTGACTTTCCTGTTCTTTTTCAACAGAAAGCCAAAATGGGTTACATAAGAACTCCAGAAGAAGGCTTAACACATGTTCTGAATCTGGAGGTTGTGTTAACTAGGATCATGGAATCCCTGAAGACCTCAGCTTCTCAGGCTGGTGAAACATATGTAAGTAGTTAACTGGTTTTGACAAACATTATCATGTTTAACCTCTCCATTATGACTTGCTTCTGGGAAATATGCCCAAGACAATGGATCACTCAGTATATGCTTATTTCTCTCCAAGCAAGTAGGGCAACTTATTTCTAGGAATGGATTGAAGATAAGGAGTCAGGAACCCTGGTAAGGAAATGTTCAACTCAATAGAGGATAAAAAGTTTTTCTAGGAATAATGTACTCTGGAAGATTGAACAAAATAAATGTTCTGCTGCTAGCTTGGAAATCTTTAGTAGAAATGTTTAAGCTTTTTGAGCACCAAAATCATGTGAAGGCTTACTACACTAAACTGTTGAATCTACCCACAGTGGTTTTGATTTGGTTGCTTGTTTATGGATGCAAAATTTACCTTTTTAACAAGTTCCTATGTACTGGTGCTGCTAGTTGTTAGCACAGTGTGAGATTCATTGTCGTATATGACAGTAGATGTGCATGGTCACCTACTATACTAGACTGCTGTGCAGCCTTCCTGGTTGGTGGTCAACACTCCAGCTCAAAGTGGTAACTACCTTTGCAACAGCTCACTAGCTTCTCAGGAAGTCAAAGTAAGTAAAATGCCATAGTACAAAAGTTCTCAACTCTATTTACTAGAAATTAGACTCTCCAAGGAGCTCTGAAGAGCTACAAATACTGAGGTCTTGTGCCAGACCACTTATAGCTAAATCTTTGAAAATGGTGTATGGCAGCTCAGCATAATCTCAATATGACTCTAAGAAACAGGTTTAAAAATAGATGTAGTAATATCTTGTTTCTTAAAGTAATCCATACTTTTGACGAGATAGCTGACCATTCATTGAAAGTGAAAGCCTATACTTCACCTAGATGTCTTGAGTGTCTTTGATCAGAGCTCTTGAAATCTCAATATGCATATGAATCACCTCTAGTCTCTTTTTAAAATGTGGATACTGATTTAGTATGTCTTGGATAGAATTTTTGAGATTTTGTATTTTTGACATGTTCTGGGGACTGCTAGTCCAATCGATTGCTACAGATTGGATAGTTTGCCTCTCATTGCACACCTGTTCCTTAACATGGCACCTTTCCTGCTTTCCCTCTGTAGCTCATACAATTTGTTGAGGAGTTATTGATTAAACAGGAAAAGTGCAAAAAATTTCTGGAATGCCATATTTCAACTCAGAAGAAATTAGAAGAATACAGCCGGCAGAGAAGACAGTCTGAAAATCCTGCTGGGGCATCTGAACCTGGTGAAGACACTTCACTTATGGCAGTAGCATATAAAATCTTCTGATTGTAGTCTACCTCAAAGTTGGCTATTTAATAGTCTTGATCACTTCTTTTTTTCCTAAAGATTACTTCCTTTTCTATTTTCCTTATTGTGCATAGAAAAAGTGTATTCCATTATAGTTATGTGGAAATATATTACCGTGAGAGAATGTTTACTTCCACCAATATGAGATTGACAAAAGCCACCTGAGGGACAGTGGATCCATTAGACATAAATGAACAATCAAAAATTACCCTCCTTTTTTTCCAAAATTCAGATTACCATCATGATTTGGAAAATTCAACCACTTACAAATGAATACTGTAGAAACTATGTGGTGAAACATTAAATCTCAATGTTCTTCCCTCATCTGTTTATGTAAGCTTACAAATTAGTAGGATCTTCATTATTTAAAAAAAAAATTTAAGAGCAGGAAAATTCATTGGAGAATAGGCCTGGGAAACAGGAAAAGCTCCTAAGAGACAGGAGGGGTCCAGAGTGCATTGCCAAGGAGCTCCCTTCTCTAAGAATGTTTTATAGAGCAAAATCATGAGGTTGGTACAATGTGGGTTAAAACTATATTCAAAAAATAAGATTACAAGTATAGCTGCTCGGCTAATATTGATCCAACAGTAGCAAGGGCATATGGATGGCATCATTAATGTTGGTTGATAATCTATAGTCTTGATCTTGTCTTTAGTCTTAATCTTAATAGTCTTAGTTTTAGTGTTAGTAGTCTTAGTCTTAATAGGTGAGATAGGATGGCCCATCCCTAGTGAGATAATGGTTTACGTTTAAGGGAAATCTCAAAATGATGGTGCCAATCATCTCAAACTTCCATTTAGCCTGTAGGGAAGTATGAAAATATGGCCATTTTGACTTATGTGGCCTCCAGCAACAGTTTTGATGTATTCTGATCTTCTGCACTGACTTCCTTGAGGGCATAGGTTTATCTGACTATGTATAACATTTGTACCTAACTTAGCTGTCTATAATATTCCTCCTTTGAAGAGATATCCTTACCTGAGGTTAGGGGAGAAGGGGCAGTTTCTATATAGCTGCTTGCAGCTGAGGAGTGTGGGTGTAGGGGAGACTGCAGTCAGAGGCCTTCTAGTTTATCTAAAGGGCCTTGATAGAAGTCATGTTGAAGTTTAGCAGTTATGAACTCCCTACACAAAGTTGATTTTGTGGATCCTGGTGAAAGGAGTCTGGCGCATTTGTCATTGGTGCCATCTGTGTGATCACTTGGAGTTTGGCAGACTCTAGGTAAGAATAAACAAATTTTCCATGAAATTCAAGCATGTATAATCAAAGCATGAACACTAGCATGGAAAGGCAGGTTGGAGAAAGAGCCATATCTAGACACTGCTCTGAAGGAACTGAAATAAGGATTGTAACCAGCTGGCTCTTAGACACTTCTGCTGATGGATATTATCTGACATTATCTATAAGTCTGATATTTCCTGTCATAAGTCCCTCTAGTTTTAGCTGTAATAAGATGAAAAGTTGGGTAGTTTTGAAGGACAATTTTAACTGAGGAATTTAAAGACCCTTGCTAAACTGTTATAGTTTTCACCATAGTTTTTTTTAGCCTTACTGAACAGTGGTCAGCCACCAGTGGTCAGCCACCAGTATAGTTGGAAACTGCCAGAAGGGGTCAGTGATTACAGCCCCTTTTTATATATAGCTTTTATTACTGTGATATTATTTTAATAGATCTTTCAGTTATGCTTTTCTGCTGGTGTTTAAGACAAAGTGGAAGTAACACTTGTTAATCAAATTAACCTCTGCTATCTATCGGGGTCAGTTAGGCCTCCTCGGTCATTACTTTGAAACCATGTCCAGAGCCTCTCAACTCTTCTGTCAATCTCAGCTATCAAGATGGGTCATGGCATTGCTTGACCATGTTGCTTTCTGTGGAAGCATGGGAAACTTTTCTCTCTTGATGACTCTCTTTTTTTTTTTTGGCACACTGTATATTCATTGATTCCTATTCTCTGGGATCCTGCAATCTCCCTGTTCAGGAGGTTGTAAAAACCAAAGTTGTAGAAGATCCTGTAGAAAAGTTTCCCCCCTTTCCTGGGTCCCTGTTGACCTTAGAGAGCCAAGGCAAAAATATTGGCTGTCCTCTTAACCCAGTTACATTTTTAGTTTTGGTCTCCAAACTTTAGTTGTTGAACACCCAGAAGAGAATATCAGTGACATTAGCTTTGCAGTAATTTCAATAGAACAATGTTTCATCTTGATATTTGAAAAAAGATTCCTTATAATATTTGTAAAGATGTATATAAGAGAAAAGGCAGTAATGCATAATAAATCTAAAAAAGAATATTACAACAAATTACTGACAATATTGTCATGAATACTTTTATGCCAATGAACTTGAATTTTTATATGAAATTGACAACTTCCTAAAGTATAACATTTCAAACTTCATGTAAATAGCATGGTTCCACAATTAATCATGTTTGCCTCCCATAATTTAAAAAAACCCTGAAAGTTTCCAGGTCCAGTAGGCTTCAAAAATTAATGTTACCAAATGATTATCACTAGTCTCACACAATCTCATTATATAGTATTAAAAGGAGGAAACACATTCCATTGTATTTTATGAGATGGCTAAACCCTAAAAGAATATAAAGAAATTTTGAGGTAGTGGCCATAGTCAACACAGCCAAAACTTCTCCACAAAATAGCAAACTCAGTACAACAATATGTGTAAAGCATAGTGCATGCAGAATAAGATGCATTTTGTTGAGAATGCAGGAAACCTTTAAATTCAAAGATCAATCACTGTAATTTACCACAGCAATAGAATAAAAGGGAAATATCATCATGAGGAAATTGATCATCTGCAACACGTGTTCATGAAAAACAATTCATCTACAAGGATAGTTTGACAGTTTCTTATCAAACTAAGCTAAAACTTTCATATGACCCAACAACTATACCTGTAAACATTTGTCTTGAGAGATGAAAATTTATATTCACACAAAAACCTATCATTGAATGTTGAGGCCAGCTATATTCAAAATAATTAAAAATAATCAAAATATTCTTCAATGGGTGAATGGTCCAAAAAGGTATGGCATCATTATATTAAGGAATATGACTCAGCACTAAAAAGAAATGAGCTATTTATTGTGGGAGACCAGGCTATGTGATCAGCCAAAGATACTGAGGCCTTTGTGACCTCCCTGGAACAGGAGAGGAAGTGGAAAGCTGCCCTCTCCCTTGTTTGCTCAGAGGGATGCTAAAACCCACAAAATCCCTGGGCAAAACATCAGCTGAGGACTACACAAAGAAAATTACATATCCAGATATGGGGTTGTTATGTTCCTAGATAATCATCTACAGTTTTTTTTTTCCTTGAATCTCATGTTTCCTACATTGCCTTGTTCTACTAATAAAAATGGGAGTTTCCAGACTCCCTGCATTCTTTCGTTCCCTAGAGGAAGAGAGTTACCTGGTCCTCTTCTTCCAAATTATCTTTGTGTCTTTTGTCTTTAATCCTCATTTGCTCCCCACCATGATAAAATCACAGGCTGACTTCTACAATTTATATATGAAAAGAATTGAATGATCTGAGTAAAAAAACAAATCCTCAAATGTTACATACTATATGATCAGATTTATATAAAATTTTTAAAAATCAAAATTTTAGAAATATAGAACATATTGGGTCTTGCTAAGCATCAGAGTGGAAAGGGGCAAGGGGAGAATTGAAGAGGAAAAGGTGAAACTACAAAAAGGAAAGACAAAGATTCTTACAGTGGTGGAATGGCTCAGTCTCTTGATTGTGGCAATGGACACTGCAACCTATACATGATATTAAATTGTATAGAACTAAACACACAAATGATTACAAGTAAGACTGTAGTAATCTGAATACAATTGGTACAATATGTTATACTATCAAGGTCTAGGTTATTATATTGTACTATCACTTGGCAAGACATCAGCATTGCTGTGTATTGGGTAAAGGAGACAAAGAATTCCTCTGCATTACACTACAACTGCATGTTAACCACATTTATTAAAGACAAAAAGTGTGATTTTTAAAAAAATGTATTACAAAATGGATCAGAACTTCCAAATCTGATTTTAAAAGTTCAAAAATTTGTACATAGAAAAATATTGAAAAATGGGAAACTTTGAAGTTTTCCTTCAATGTCAAGAAGACAAGTATCTGCTTTCATGATTTTCACTGGCACTCTACTGGAGTTCTTAGCTATTGCAATAAAGCAAAAAATAAAAGTTATAAGAAGAAAAAGCAAAGAATGAAAGATTTATTTTTATAAATTATCTGACTGCACAAATATTTCCCAAAATGTCTACTTTTTAAAAATTATAAGTATATTATCAGTGATATTGAATACAGAGTCAAAATACAAAAATCTCCTTATGATCCAGAAAACCAAGAATATATAAAATGTGCCATTTCCAATATAATGAACAAAGATTAAACAGTTAGGTATAATCTAAAGTAAGATATGCAAGTCCTCAACATAGAAGTTATAAGCATTATTAAGAAAAGTTAAGGAAGATCATGTAAATAAAAGAATTTCCCATGAATGTAAATTTTAAAACCCAGAAGGATGAAAATATCCACATCCAGAATTGATCACTGGAGCCAATGTAATCATAAGAAAAACCCAATAAGTTATTTTTATTGTGTCATTGAAAGAGACAAGCTGATTATGTAATTTATATTGAGAAAAGGATAGCCAAATCATTGTTCAAATAGAAAATAAGAGGAAGGGATAAGAGTGAAGAAGATGGAAAAAGAAACGTAATGAGGAGGTAAAAATGGTCAAAGTATGTTTTATGATATATGAATATGCCAAAATGAAACATATTAGTCAGATTTCCCATTGTTGGACACAACCCTCAACACTCACAATTCAAATGAAGGAGAGGTTTATTTGGATTACAGTTTATGGGACTCAGTTGATGGTCAACAGGCTCTAAGGCAGGATTGTCATGGCAGACAAACATGGTGGAGCAAAGCTACTCAGTTCATGGTGGTCAGGAAACAGAGCAGGGAAACAAGTGAGAGACAATATATATGCCTCCATGACTCACAAAGACACACCAAAGAGTGTGCTGTACTAATCTGCTAGGCATTTCTTAATTCAATAAAGTTGAAATATCAGGATAAATGGTCACAATCTATTCCTTGTCAATGTCACACTCAAATACATCTCTTTAAATCATTCTTAAAAACAAAATAGGGACAATGGTAAGTTCCCAATTTCACCTAACATAATACTGCACTCCTGTTTACAACAAGAAACACAATAATCCCTTCCCCAAAGTCTCAACAGTTCTAGCATTTGTCAAAGTCAAAGTCCAAGTCTCTTCTGAGATTCAAGGACAACACTTAGTTGTGAACCTCTGTAAAAATCACAAACAAGTTACATAATCCTAAGATAAGATGGCACAGGGTAAACATTTCCATTGTAAAAGTGAGAAAAAGGAGGACAGAAAATAAACAGACCAAAGCAAGATTGAAACCCAACAGGGCAAACATTAAGTCCTGTAGCTCTGTATCTGGTACTTACGGTATGTAGTGGTCAAATGTGAATTTCAGAGGGCTTGTAAAACACTAACCATATGGACTAGCTAGTTACAGCCCATATGGTCCCTGGCTTGGGGTGGCTTCACACTCAGGCTTCAGCATTAATTAGCAGACTTTCCATGTTTCTGTCATGTCTGACCTCCTGGGGTCTACACTGCACCTTTGGATTCATTCCCACAGCTTCACACAATGACCTCTTGGGTACTACTTGCCCAAGCCTTCATTTGAAATTTAGGTAAAAGCCTTTCTAACTCCATACCATAAAACCAGCACAATGTGAATGATACCAAAGTTGGCTACTATCTCCACCATGGCTGTAGCAGCTTCTCTTTGTCTAATGGCTGAACATGGAAAGGGAATCCCAGGACATCAGTTCCCTAGGAGACCTTTTTCAAGCAAGCATCCCAAAACTCACTTCTCAAATGAATGGTTTATACTTTTGCAGCCTTGATATGTGATGGGTAGGATTTTGCTGATTCCTGAAATTTCCTCAAGCCATCTTTATTTTTGTTCCTGTACAATGTTCCTGCTTTCTTTTTAATGGTACTCTCTTTAGTAGCCATACCTACTATGGCCCCAGCTATACACATAGTTCCTTCTGGGCCACAATTTAATTTTTTCAAATTTTCTGCTCTGTCTTTTGCCACAATTCTCATTATGAATCTGGCTAAAAGCTGCCAGCAGTACCTACACCATGGCCTGAATGCTAAGGTGTCTTGAAATTTCCTCTACCTGATTAATTAACTAACTGCCCTTGATCTCAGTCTCCTATAGTCTCAAACACGGGCTAATGTAGACAAATTTTCTGTTAAAGTGTAACACACATGGGCTCCAGTTCAAATGCTAATGGAGTCCTTGTTCCACACTGAAACCTCCTGAGTATGGTTTCTACTGTTCACATTCCTATCAGCACTATAGTTATCTGAACTCTGACCAGAATCATGCATTTTTCTATGTCTATTGCATTTAAAGCTCCTCTGAATCTTTCTAAACTCCTCCACACACAAACCAATTCCCAAAGCTTCTAAACTACACAGTCAGGTACACTTTACTGCAATGACTCCACTTTTCTGGTTCCAGTTTTCAGTATTAGGCACCTTTTCTGTTGCTTGACAAAATACCTGATACTTAACAACTTAAAGGACAGAAAAACTTAAAGGCCAAGAAAAACTAAATCACTGCCAAAAGGGAACATGGGAGAATTTTTTCTATGTTGTATTAAAACTTATCATAAACCCGCAGACACTAACAATGCAGCAGTGACATAAAAATAGACATACTTATTACTACAGAATACTAAAATGTGCAAAAATGGTCAATGAAATGATCAATATACAATTATGACAAAACTGTAGCTGAAGGGTAATGTGTAATATATGATCTTTTCAATAAATGTTTGGTAGGCGAGTTAATTTCTATAACCATTTTAACAAATAAAAAAATTAGTGACTTACAAAGATATGTTTATTATACCACAATTATTTCAGAACACAGGTCTTAGTTAGCTAAAATCAAAGTGTTGAGAAGTAGAGGTTTTAGGAGAGAATCACTTCCTTACCATTCCCAACTTTGGCAGCTACTTACATCTACAAAAATATTCCACACTGACTCA